AATCGGCGTCGACACCAGACCGAAAAAGACTTTCTGCATCTGTAATACATGCGAGTTTCCGAAAATAGGGGACCCTAATATAGTACCTTAAACAGTAGGACCCTTATTATAAGGACACGAAAAGAAGGTACCCCTGTCCCACATCAGCCTGAGATACCCATGGTGCTGAACCCTGCCAGTCTCACAGGCTCAGACATCGCCGACCGAGATGAATTAATGTAGGGGCCTTGATAATTAGAATAGGGTTTTGGGGCCCATTCTACTATGGTAATCCTAAGGAACCCCAATGTGATGCAGGTAATTATATCGGCATGTGTAGGCCCTAGTACCCAAACCCTTTAAACCCCACCGCGCTCAATGGTCTTCAAAGCCTCCAACCCACGTCGCCCCCTCCCTCCTTCACAGCTCGCGTAGCCGACATCCTAATTAAGCAGCATACGAGTGGGGTTTAGGGTTTAGGGTTCAGCATCTAAGGGTATTTTAACCTGCCTTTGAACGAAACATACCAGCTCATAACTTAAACTGAAGTATCCGCGGTCAGTCAGCTGCTCTGTCCACATGGCATCATATCTTCTTTTGAAATAAACATCAGCACCGCTGTCCCACCCAGGCCAAGCCTTGTCAATTCAGGATTCAGAGTATGAGGTCTTGGGGGTATTGCAAGACGCTCGGTCCTGCCCCTTGCGAACATCCTGCAGCGAGAAGAGCACCTCACCTTTCCACTGCTCCTGCTAGAGACTCCAATATCCCTTAAAAAAGGAATATACCTTAAATTATAGTAGGATCCCTGATATGATTTAAGGAATATTCCTTAATTAAGCGCTATTGGAGTCTCTGGGCTGCTTCCGTAAGGCTTATAGTGTTGAGTCTTCGGGTTGCGTGAAGGCACAATGAGCAGGGTTGGTGCTTTCTGCTAGGGAGTTCTCTAACAGAAATGTCACGCGATCAACTTGCAATTCAGGCATTATGCTTTCGTCGCCCTGGATTGTTTGAAGGACCAAGGAGTCACCATGTGTGGGTTTCAGAAAACTCGCATACCTTTTCGGGGTCGTTCTAGCGAAGATTAGTTGAGGTTTTATAATATATAGAACCCCAAACCATAAATCCTCATATGCATACTTCGCCAGAATGCCGTTTCTGAAACTCACCATGTGGACCCGGGCAGTGGCGTCCTGTAGCCGGGTGAAGGTCTCAACGCCCCTCTTGTCCATGGCTCGGTGCTCGTCTAGGCCTCATTTTCATAGTGTAGGCGCCGTAATAACTAGACTAGAGCTTGAGGGTATCATTGTACTATGGCTGTAATGAGGAACCCCCGAAACATTATCTTAATTTTGACGGCCCCTACATGAAGCAGGTGTAGATGAGGGTACAGCTTGGCAAGCCGAGTCGGAGGATGCTGCTCCTTGAAAGCAAGCTGGGAAGTAGCCAAGATTTGCTGGAGCCTTGAAGCACCCCACGATCCTGCATTCATGTCCTCTTCGTCGTCATCAAAGCCACGCTGACCCGCAGCCCGATTGTCAGAGTCTTGGATTAGAAGTCGTAACCCACGCTGTCCGAAAATTGTGCCTCCCAATCTGCGCCTGATGGCCCTCTGCCCTTCATTGATGAGCGGACGATTCTTAGCCATCAGCAATGGCTGCATCAGGTCTCAATCAGATTTTCGTCGTGCGGGCCATCGCCATTGACGTCTGTCCGCAACCCAAGCAGCTGAGCGCACAGTTGTACTTGGTGCAGATGATTGCGCACGCGATCGTAATCGCATGTCGACCGGCTGCTCATGCAACTGCACAGAGATATGAGATAAACAATGAGTCAGCAGGGTGTCCTAGAGGCTCCACATATACTTCCATTATGCAATTAGGTCCCTAAAACCATGATAAGAATGGCGTTTCGGAACCTGATTCCATAATGGTATTTTTTTGGAGCCTCTGGGTGTGTGTGTGTGTGTGTGTGCCCAGACACTCCAAAACCCCTAAATTAAGGAATGACCCTTAAATCATATTAAAGAATCCTACTGTACTTTAAGTCATATTCCTTAAGCAAGGGAGATTGGAGTCTCTGGGTGTCTATGGAACGACCTCCACAGCTGTATTTTGCAGCTCTTGCTCTGGGCTACATTAGGCGATAATGAAGACACTGCCTGGCTGCTGCACAAGCCTTTCAACTACAAGGGTTTTAGGGTTTAGGGCTTCAGGGTTTAGGGGTTTGGGGTCTACGGCTTTAAGGGTTTAGGGTTGAAGTTCTCTCTCTGCATCACGAACTCTCGAAAATTTAGTAAAGCACTCCACCCGAAGACTGCAAGACTCCTATTCCTTGTTATTTTGTTAAAGATATGTGTGTGTGTGTGTGTATGATGGTGTATGTATGTGTATATACATATAGCATATGCACACCCCATGATATATTGTAGTGTGCTGCAATATACCAAACTGTACTTTAATGTACTAGAGCTTTGTGGTCCAGGGCACTGAAGCCGGTGATTCTTCCAGTCTCCGTCAGGTGTTCGCTCCATGGGCCCTGCGTGCGAAGGCTGCGTGCTTGGGCTGGCCCGGTTTAGGATTTAGGGTGTGAGTCTGGTTTAGGTTTAGGGTTTAGGATTTAGGGTGTGAGTGGTTTAGGTTTAGGGTTTAGGATTTAGGTTGTGAGTGGTTTAGGGTTTAGGGCCGGGTTTAACGTGGTGAGAAACCCTATAGGCCCTTCAGTCAGAGAGCCATAAAAGCCCTAAGATCGCACCCATTTGGGAGGTGATTTTGAAATGGAGTTGGGAAGACCGAGGGAGAGGAGTCCCTGTGTCGGTTTTCGGGTCTTAGAGGTTCAGGTTCCATGCAGTCGTGTGGTCAGAGGTGATGTTAAAGTCTTGGGATTGTGTTCAAACCTTGTTGTTCGTGGTTGTGTGTGTGTGTGTTTGCTTCTGTGTGTATATATCTGCTTTTGTGTTACGTTCATATGTAGAACTAGTCACTAGTGTTCTTCTTGCTGTGGTAGCTATGACGACTCTCATCAGCATCCTAATCATCATCCGACATTGAGACATGGTCACAAAATGGAAGATCGAACTTCCCAAAGGGATGCCAACAGCTCTGACCTTCGGGCTTAACAGCCCCTGGACATTATTGATATTGGGGGGTCATGTAAGTGGAATCTCATATCGAGCCTCTTCTGGTGGCTTGGGTTTTCAGGTGCCTAGGGCTTACTAGCTAAATTTGCTGCACCCCCAACTTTGTCCGATGTGCGCATGCAAGAACTTCCAACAATGGCTTTTTGAGGGGATCTGGGGATGGGAGCGGAAGTCGCCCTTCGGCAGAGGGCGTGCTATACGATACTAGACTAGAATAGACCATACTACTGTAGACTGTAGACCAGTCTATAGTATCCTAGACTAGACTAGACCGGACTAGACTGAAATTGATTGACTAGACTGTACCGTACTGTGCTAGCCTCGTCATACTTGATCTAAAGCTCAGCCGTGACCTGCGCACCTGCATGGGGCCGGTGTCGTGGTCGGTAAGAAACCCCTGAAACTGTATCCTGGCGCTCGACTATGAGCAACTCTAAAGCCCGCCAAAACTCCATAGATTCCGTGCACATACCCCTAAAGTCTACATCCTAGACCCCAAACCATGACTCTGAACCTATGTATACATCTATATATATATATATATATATATATAGATATGTATATATACTTCTGCACGCGTAGAACCAAGATCCGACTAAATCCAAACATGATCCCTTGTAGTTGTATAATAGAATACGAAAAATCCTGAGAGCGCTAAACTATAGCCCTTTTCGCCAGTCTTCGAACAACCGGCCTCGAGGCCCTTCGAGCTGATGGAAACCTGTTCCGGGTCTACCCAGGAGGCCCGAAACCTGTCTCTAATGACTCGATGTTGGCGATAAGAAAGCGATTTCTTGCTAGAGTGTAGTTATCTGGATAGTAGTAAGCATCATCATCGCCAATATCGGTAGTACTAAGTTCATGACTAGCATGACTACTGCTACAATGATTATAGCCTTGTAGCTATTCCTGGTACTATAACTGCTACTACCACTATCACTGTAACTCTCACGACTACCTGCACAGTCACTATCAGTACTGATTACATGATGGTTCTTGACATGGACAACGATCCTAGGTAGGAACCAATGAAGAGGCTTATTGGCGAGGATTCATCTTGGGCCTTAGGGGTGTTATTTGTTGCTATAACAGTAAAGTCTCTTGGGGTTGCCCCACAAGAATTGCAAGCAACTTTCTGGACCATCACGGGGAATCGGGTGGCATTTGCAGAAGCTGCTGCCGTTGAGAAGCCCTGATATAGAGCTGAATAGTTGGCAAGACTATTCAAGATATTTCTATCGGAAAGCTTCATAAACCATGTTCTAATTATACGGTGCTCTTCTGAAACCGAAGAGTTTGAAGCTTAGCTGTAGGAATTGAGGATCTGACCACGAAAAGCACATCCTCCTGTTGAAGCAGCAAAGCCAGATAACAAACGTTTCGCTCCACTCCTGCTGCTTAAATCCTAGCGCCCTGATGAGGGTGTCTTGATCATGAGTACCGTCCCTATTCCGGCTCCCGAACCCTGGATTATCTCGATATTGAACCTCAGTTCAGGCCTTTGTGACCAACACCTCCATAAAAAGAAACTTACTTTTTTTTTTTTTTTTTTCTGGGTTTTAGGAAACGACAATCAAAAACGTAAACCGTATCCGAATACTCAGCGAGCAACCCTTCAACCCCTAGGCCCCTACTTCCCCAATTCTCTTATGCAGTGACCCCAACCATTCGAATAGGGTTTTGGGGTTCTTTATGGTAGTTACAGTCTAGTGTACCCCCGAACCTATTCTAATCATTAAGGCCCCTACATTTGAATTAAACCCCTTCATACCTCAGTCTAGCATGAGCCACTCACCGCTCCCTTGAGACCGACCCGCCTATGCCCTAATCTCTGAAAAATATATGAACCTCAGCCTACTCTCTAAACCCCAATCCCTAAACCCTAAAGCCTCATGCAACACTCCCGGTGCTTGAAGTAACCAACGTGAAAGAAGTTCAGACTTCTATTTCATCATGGTTCCGTTTCAGGAACAGGTCCACAACAAAGTTCAAGTATGGTACCCCAGAACCCCCGACTCTGAAGCCACCTCGAGGTCGAAGGCAATCCAGGAAATCACTCGCCGCTCGTGGGGGCCAAAGCGGTCGAACCACATGAACCTGGCTTTTTGGGATCTAGAGTTTCAGGGTTTCAGGGTTTTAAGGTTCGGACCGAGGGTTGTTTGGGGTTTAGGCTCCATGTCCGAGGGTTGAGGGTTAAGTTTAGCTGAATGTGTCGATTTTCGAGGCATGTGACGTCGTATGCTTTCTGGGTGAGTGTGTTAGCTTAATCAACGGTCTGCCTGCAGCTGCCTCAAAAGTGTGGAGAGGGTATGCGGTCTGTCTCTACATGGACTATCTGAGGTGTAGTCGGGGCGGAGTGCACATTCCTGGACGCACAATGGGGTTTTGGGTTTTGGACGCTACTTGGATTTCCGGATTTGTAGCAATGAATGGGGTATGGGTTATACAGCCATCGCTTTACTAGAACCTTGTGGTCCTTCATAGCGGAAGGTACTTGGAGGGTCGGGGGACTTAGTAAGTAGGTAGTAGGTAGAGTTATAAGTACCCCAAAAAGGGACCCTAATTGGGGTTATGGTACTTATAAGTCCCTAAAATAACCAGTTACTAAGTCCCCCGACCCTCCAAGTAGTGGAGGGGAGGTGCTGGTTGAGTCCAGGTCTCGGTAGATCTTGTCGCATCTGCTGCAGCGCCGCAGCGACGGCGTCACGCGCCCGGCCGCCCCACTCAGGACCATCAAAGGTTCCCTGGGAGGCGACGAACCCCAGAAACCCCTATCTCCCTTAATTAAGGATATGGTTTAGGGTTTAGGGTTTAGGGTTTTGGGTTTAGGGTTTTGGGTTTTGGGTTTAGGGTTTAGGGTTTAGGGATTTAACTCATATTAGGGATCCTACTTACAATTTTCGGTATATTCCTGAAGTAAGGCAGTAAGGGATATTGGAGTCTCTGGGGCGTTCTAGAAGCAAGGCGAAAACTGTAAGGGCCTGTAGGGTACGGTTTAGGGCTCACAGGGTTCTCGGGATTTTTGTTTAGGCTCTAGAGGTTGTAGACACGCTTTCGGGTGGTGTCGGAACTAGGACAGCGACATGAACATCATGGAAATTGTACCATCTCTCTCAAAAAATAGCTCTGATGTTGACAAATTTGTCGCTCATCTCGGGGCATCACCCGATCATGACGGAAATGTCAGTGTACTAGAGCACGGCAAGAAAGAAAAACACACAGAGTAAGAAGCTCCAAAGACAGCAACATTGCTTAGGCATCTGCATCGGATCACCATCTTTCGGGAGTACGGCATGTACTGACATGGCAGACTGACATGTTCAGCCTGTTAAAAACCCTATCCTGCCTATCTTCCTCGTCAACATGTCTACATTGTCTGCGTCTGTCCACACACCCCTGCAGCTGCATCGGAAGCTCAAAACTGAACTCTACATCAGAAAGCTCTCTCGCAATTGGCACTGACTCGCAACATTTTTAGAATGTCCACCGAGTTGGTTGCATTCATAGCACTCATATTGCTCATGCATGCACCTCAAACTCGAAACTCATGCACGCGAGAGCGGAATCAAGAGAGTGACACAGAACAGGACAAGGAGAAGAGGGAGAGAGGGAGGGAAAGAGAGAGGAAAAGAGGAAGATAAAGACAAATCAACTGTTCCAACCATCAACAACTGGCCCACACACATGGGTACGTGTTTGAAGTAAGTCAGTGAATTAAGTAGGGAGGCAATGGGCAAGCAGGCGGGCAGGCAGGCAGGAAAGCAAGTGTTTATGTAGGTCTGTACGTAGGGAGGTATGCCTTATGTGTGCATGCAATCATTCATGCATGTGGGTGGTTGCCAAAATCATGGTCCCCTTTTTGGGTCCCCTAAATATTAGGTGCCGCATTATAATAAGGACCCTAATATTGACAACCGCCCATGTATAATTTGCTCCAAGGTGCTGGTTCCTGGCCTTGGGAGAAGGCAGTAATACCGCGAAGATCGCAGGGGTCGATGAGCCCCAAGAGGCGCATGGCCACACGCGTAAAAACCGGACCCAGGAAGTCCACCTGAAGTCTGGTGCGGCATGGGCCGTAGTTAATATAGGGACCTTCATAATTGCCTATACTACTTTTGGCTGTTCCTTACTAATTATAGTTACAGTAGAAGCCAGAAAGTTGGAACATGGCTTTAGGAGGATTAGTGCTAGGATCCCTTATGCTTTACCTTAAGGGCATGAGGACAAAGATGTTCCAACTTTCTGGCTCCTACTGTAGAGTATAGTGGAGGCTCAAAGGCTTCAAGATTGCTTTACATGGGGTTTGTGGTCTTAGGCTTTAGGGTTTATAGGCTTAGGGTTTAGGGTTAAGGATTCCTGCCGTTTGGGTCATGGGATGTAGAATTTGGCTTCTGACAGCAAAGGGGCTTCAAGCATATGAGCCCATGGATCTTTGAAGCCCCACCCGAGAGAGACCGCCGGCAAAGCATCCGTCTAAGATACAATCAGCACCTAGACCCTCCATCTACCCTCTATTAGATTTGGGACCATATACCCTATTTGAGGGTACGAGGAGGTTCCTGGTATGTGCTCATGAACTACTCTGAACTCCTAATCAGTAAGATTCGAGGGACCACTCGGCAAAATCCTAAGTGGTCGATGTAGCGACATCATCCCCAGATGTTTGCTAGATGGTCTATACTCGATCCCGAAACCCAAGTTGTTATAGTTCTCGAGGCTGCATATATGTATGTACATACACACACATGAACATACTTAAGTATACATATTTAGATGCAGCTATATATATACACATATATATATATACATACGCATTATACACTATCAACTACATACGATATGTAATATGTTGATTATTTTCTATGTATTAAACCACAATGGCACATGTTCTTTCCCGAGCCACCTGAAGCTCGTCGATGAGCCGCTGCGCACCCCGGCGCGCAGACTCCAGAGGGGAGAGCCTTGCGCTTCAGATCTTTCTTGGTTTCTTATAGATCCCTTTAAAAGGAACCCTTAAAGGAGTCCTGTTCTTATTAATTAGGCTAGGGGTTTAAGGATTTAGGGGTTTAGGGGTTCAGGGGTTTAGGAGTTTAGGGGTTCAGGGGTTCAGGGGTTTAGGATTAGGGTTTAGCGCTTGCAGAGTTCGGGGCTACAGGGTGTACGGCTTGAGGGTTTTCGGGTTTAAAGGCTGCTGCAGTGTACTGGGGTAGTTCTCTAAATTACTGTAATTAGGGCCCCTTTTGGGTCCCCTAGAAAGAGTACGGCACCCTTATCTTAAAAACGGACCAAGAAGTGACCCTTATTTAGGGAACTACCCGTGTAGGAAACTGTGTCAGGTGTACTCCTTCCTGATTTCATTCGACCTGCAAGCCCAGTGCATACTCGTCACACTGCAACACAGGGGGCACCGAGCCAGCACCCTACGAAAAAAAGAACGCAAAGCCACGACCAGCAAAATGTACGTCTTCTGCTAATGCCTCGGTAAGAAGCCTCGAGTTTACCATTGTCCACCTTTCAGGTCTCCAGAAGAACCAAAAGCAACCCTTTTGGGGTCGAACATGGGGCATAGACTCGCCCGGCCAAACGGATACATACTCGACTACGAAGACCCTGAAACCGTTAAACCGAAGCCCCAAACCCCAACACCTCATCCCTAAGCCCCAAACCCGAGTCTATACCATCCTTAGAACCATAATAAAAACTAGTGTTTTTAAGACTCTCTTGGGTTTTAAAGGAACAAAAATACCAATAATTCCTAATAAGACTATAGAAATGTAGGAACCTGATTCAGAAACCTTGGGCCTTTATTCGGGCTCCTTATATGAATCCTACTATTTTGGGGTTAATAGCCCCAGGGTTTGTTAATCAGGTTCCTACATTACACCCCAAATGCCCCTGACCTGAAGCCTTGTAACCCTTGCAACTGGCACCCACCTTTCCGGCATGCGCTGCGCGGCGCTGAGGCTCCCGTGCGTGGCAGGCCCAGCATTCCTAGGAAGCGTGATGTAGAAGCCTAACTACTATTTGCTTAAGAACCCCCAAAAAATAAAAAATATATTCCTTATGGTGGTAATATAGGGATTATTAATTTTATTTTTGGGGGGTTTCTTAAGCAAATAGTAGCTAAACAGTTAGCCTTCAGAGTTAGTCAGACTATAGGGCTTGGAGGTGTTCTCTGCAAAACTGCTCAGAATTAGGGCGCTATACTTAACAATAAGGAAAGTAACAACTACTGTATCCAAATCGATACCTCGTTGATTTTACGATAGTCCGAATAAGGGCCCAAAATAACAGTCTTCCTAATTCTGGGTTGCGGGGCGTTGGGTTCAGGCTGCTCGGTGGAACTACGGTACGGTCCAAACCCTGAATCCTAAACCCTACAGGAATGCTAGAGCCTTGTAGGAACCTTTACAGGACATCCCTTTAAAGGGACCCTTCTGCATCCCTTGCAGGAACAGCTATACGTCATTATGGGAGAAGAAGGACCTATATCAGTCGTCAAGGGCTCAGTATCCGGAAAAATTACCAGTCACTTAGTATAGGGTCCCTTTAAAGGGATCTATAGGGATTCTATATAAGGGTATAGGGTTTAGGGTCTACTTGGAGGTTCGTGGGCAGTTATAAGTAGGGTTATAAAGTAGGGTAACTATGCTTATAACCCATGTTCGGGGACTTCGAACCCCACTTATAACTACCCATGAACCTCCAAGTAGAGGTTAAAGCTCCCAGTAGCGGCTCGAGCCCTTCTCCTTGTCCAGGTCTTAGGCTGGTCTTGGGGCATTCCAAGTGAGTTTAAGGCTTTAGGATTGAAGGGTTTTAGGTTTTGGGGGTTTGGTGTAAATAAGGCTTCGTTTGAGAGGCACAAGCAAAAGCATCTGTCGAGCAAATCTGAAACAAGTCCAACTATCTGCCACTGCTCTCATGTATCGAGGCTAACCTAGGAAGCTGCGAAATCCACATGCCCCACCAGCCGTTGCTTCAGTTTCTGTGGGCTTTAGCATGTCTTGGACTTTGTACGTCAACTCATGTGAGCTCGTTGTAGTACTACAATTGTTCTGTCATTACTTAGCAATTGGCTTTCTTCTGCGACCACGACTTGCGGCTGCTACTGCCACTGCCACTACCACTACTTACTATCAACAGGAAATGACAAAACGAGCAGCTACATGCTCGACTTACAGGGTAGGGTGTGTTGAGGGTTTAGGGATTTGGGGAGTATGGCTTATGGGTACTGTTGCACTCTTGATGACATGGAGTGTGCTTGCACCAGTCATGGGATGCCTCTACGAGTTTTCAGATACAGATAGACGGCGCACCGATTGAAAGATCCAAAGCACAACAGCCCCTTCAAAAGCTCGAAATTCCGCTTTGTCCTGGCAGTGATGACGGCACGGTCCATCATCATCATCATCATGATGGTTCAGCATTAAATAAACATCATGCGAGGCATGCTAGAGCCAGCTGTTATTGTGGTACTGGTCATCATCAAGAAAGGCTGCAAGCGGTAAGAACCTAGAAAAAGACGACCCCCATCCACAATGATGGCTCAGCATCAGCAGCTTGATCGGAACTGCATTCTCGACCTGCAAGCGTGATTCTGTGGAATGCATGATGGGTTTCAGTTTTGAGGCATGTTGGTCTTGCGAGGAGGGTGTCCCAAAGAATTTTCGGATGCTTTTTTAACAGAACTAATCATATCCACCATTCACGAAAGACGCCCCCGCTAATAACGAATACGCGATGGGGAAACTCCACCTGAAAACACTCCCACCTGTTGAAATTTATTTTGAGATTATTGATAGGCCCACATTCATCAAGCCTAAAACACCGCGGAGATCCCGCAAACCTTCATAAGCCCTTCCGCCACCTCAGACCCGAATTCCGTAAACCTCCAAACCTTGTAACAATAGCATTCAACCTAAAGCCAACCCCCAAACCCTCTCATTAACCCCTAAATCCGACATCCTAAAGCCCCGAACCTCAAATTTCCAAAGCCTGAAACCGTACTTCCAACACCCTACACCCGAAACAGAAATTTCGCAAAACCGCAGAAGGTCTTAGGTTAGCCGGTACCCTTCGAAAAAGCAAAACTGTAAGACACCCTTCATGGAGTCCTCCCGCATGCCTCTGCGGTGGGCAGAGCCATCCCTTGCAGTCCTTGATCTCGACCGATGATTGCTTCAAGGGCATGAACAACCTGAAGGCTTTTTGCTTTAGGATTCCTTACAAAGTTCCTTAAAGGGTACCATGAACGTTTATGGTTTAGGACAGGTCGAGGGATCACGTAGATTACTGAACATAGGAGTCGTGCTTTCGAAGCCTTTGTATTGTATACGGACAAATATTGGCGACCACCTAGAAGCAGGCTTTTCCGCTTCGGGTTTATACTGGAGTTGGTGTTTGGTGGAATTCCCAGTGGAAAGCACTGAACCGCATGACCAGTTAAACCCTGTGGTTTATATCTTGGGATCCCTGAACCCCGAATCTTGCATACCCCACCTCTAAGTGCCTAAACCTTGAAACAGAAATACACAGGGTCAACAGCCGGACCCCAAAAAGTTCAAACTTTCTAAGATAGAGCTAGTACCAGTAGATGGGTGGTTGTCAAAATTATGGTCCCTTTTTGGGTACCCTAATTTTTTTTGGGTGCCGTATTATAACCAACCATATATATATATATGTATATATATATATACACATGTGTGTATATATATATATATATATATATATAAATATGACCGAGAAGTTTACAGTTCCCCCGTTCACCATCTAAGAACAAAAGCAAGGACCGGGATCCCCCCGCTCTCCAGGGTCTCTGCTGAGCAGGATCTGGGGCTTCAGGGTTTCATGACTGTTGGGGCGTTACTTGGAGGTTCATGGGTAGGTTATAAGTAGGGTCATAAGTAGGGTAAGTATACTTATAACCCATCTTAGGGGGACTTATAACCCCACTTATATCCACCCATAAACCTCCAAGTAGACCCTAAACCCTATACCCTTATACAATCCCTATAGATCCCTTTAAAGGGACCCTTAAAGGAACCCTTATATCTACCCATAAACCTCCAAGTATGGGGCTTAGCATCTTACAGGGTTTCCGGTTGCAGGACTCGAAAGGAACCCAGGTCTGCCTAAGGCCCCTGTACTTGGAGGGTCGGGGGACTTCGTGACTGGTTGTTTGAGGGACTTATAAGTACCAGAACCCCAATTAGGGTCCCTTTTAGGGCACTTACAAGTCTACTTACTACCTACTTACTAAGTCCCCCGACCCTCCAAGTATTCACCCAATGCTAGCCCTCATAGAAAGCCTTAAGGGAACCCTTTAACAAGGAACCCTGTCCTATCCCCTAGACCCTAAACCCTAAACCGCTACCTAATCATAGCAAAATCGTAGGCTCTATAGGGGCGGAGTCTGGGAGATCGGATTCAAAACCTGACACTCCTGACTTCGAATAGGGCCCGGTAAAGGCGTTAAGAGTCGGAACGGGTGGCTGTGTTGTCTGTATTTTGTTTTCTCGTCGTAGCCCCTTTTACGACCCTTCGAGGTTCGGGTTTATATAGGGTTTTGGATATTCTGCTTGCCTGCTTAGCTTTGGGCCCTGACCACGACGTGGGCTCTCAGATTTGATGGCTTTCAAAAGAGAAAGATAGAAGCAGCACAGAGAAGTGGATCGACCAAAAACACCCATCTACAGGCTTCTGTATCACTTGTGGGTTCTGGGCTTTCAAAAAAAGGCTTTTGGCTTCGCTGGGTGGGGCTTTTCCTTCAGGCCTCTGTCTAATCTCCCGGGCAATGAGACGATCTTGAACCAAAGTCTGCCTAAACCCTAAACCCTAAACCCAAAACCCTAAACCCTAAACCCTAAACTGTGTAATCTCAAACCCTGAGCCATGAAACCTGTTCTTGAACTAGCTAAGCCAGCTTGTCCCTCGCTCCCTCGCGCGTTAAACCCTGAAGCTCTGAAGTCTTAGACCCATGAATCCGAAACCCTAAACCTCGCACCTCTTTCTTCCTCGCGAGCGAGGTCCCCTAGCTTGTCAAAAGCAGCCCAGGCGCACGCATGAACACCCTCTCCTGGAAGGTTCCTGGGCTCCCGGAAGAACCCCGAAGTTCATATGGAATTTGGGGAACCAACCAACCCTCAACCCTAAACCCAGACTTAAACCCGGGGCCTGAGTTTGAGGACTTGCGGGCACAAACCAATTCCATCTTCAGGCACATCGCCTTCGCTACACGGTCCTCGCCCTGACATACCAGAGAGAATACAGCCAACATAGGGGCAGAATAGACAGGTGGCTGCATGAGAGCTTAACTGCGCCAGACACCAACACTAGTTATACAGACCTCTATCTATAAAGCTGCTGTGGCAAAGGGGTTTGAAGTGGCTTAGGGTTTGAGGGTTCGTTTTACGATTCAAGACTTTTGGGCTTCTAGACCCTAAACCCAAAACCCTAAAGTTCTGAGACATTCGGCTTCCGAGCCCATGGACTGCAGAAATCGGGCTCCATCTCTGCAAACGATACTCCTACGACGTGCTCAGTTTCTATGAAACCCCACGACTCCCCGAACCCTAAACCACCAAATCCCAAGTTGAACCCCCATAGTTTGGAATGTAACATCTAATGTAACTGACTCTGACATACTATAGTATGCTCTAAGAGACCATGATATAATAACTTAATCCTACACCCTAACCCTAAATCCTAAACTTTACCCTGTTCCAAAATCCTATATCCCTAAACCCTAGCCCTAAACCCCAAATCCTAAACCCGCCCTAGTACCTAGCCCTGGCCAAATCTCGCTCCAGCTTGGCCCAGAGCTGCAGGTGCTCTCGGTGGGGCCAGCATGCCTGAGCCCTTAATTAAGGAATAGACCTTAAATCATATTCGGGGTCCTACTCTAATTTAAGATATATTCCTTAGTTGTTGGCATTGGAGTCTCTGGGTTGTCTGGTCTATACTGAACTAAAACTATAGGCCAAACCTATCAAACAACGTTATATCAGCTGTTTCTTAGGGTCGCAGGGATTATGGTAACCAAAGAGTAAAAGTTGTTTCTAAGTACCCGTGAGTCTGGTAGGGTTTAGGGTTTAGGCTGCGAGAGGGTCCAGGGCTTGTGGGTTTGGGGGTTTAGGATTCAGGCTAAATGGTTTAGGGTTTAGGGGAGTTCAGGGTTTAGGGCTTAGCCTACTCGCTCAGATTTCGCAGAGAAGCAGCACTCGAAAAACGCGGTCGGAAGGAAGGATTGCGATAGGATACCACCCATGACAGTGCGGGGAAAGCTAGTGTGGTCCAGTCAAGGGCGAGAGGGCACAGTTTGTCATTGGTCGGCATCAGGGTCTGAGGGCCTCCACGTTGCGTGAACCAAACTAGTTGAAAGGTTCCAGATCACCTTCGTAAACTTGTTTTGGTACGGAAAAGGGCCAGGCCCTTGGCGGCCCCAAAACCTAAACCCCCCTGCGGCCAAGCAGCATTGACGACCTGAACCAACTCCCACCCTTCGTACTGTCGCATTCGGATCAAGTTCAGGAAGTGGTCCTCAGCTTCCAACACCACGGTGGTTTCTTCTACATCAGGGCCCCATTGGGGGCTGCTGCAGTCCCAAAGCCCAACCGATCAGTGGGAACGCAACCGCATCAAGCATCGAGCAAAGCCTCCTTGACGCAACAGAACCCAGCAAAAACCCAGCCCCATCAAATCCTCCGAAAGAACCCCGGTACTTGGAGGTTCATGGGTAGGTATAAGTGGGGTTATAAGTCCCCTAATAGGGAATATAAGTATAGTTACCCTACTTATAACCCTATTTATAAACCTCCGAGTAGTTGAAGCCGCGGAGCCAGCGCTGGGTCCAGCCAGTCCGGGCCAACCTAGGGAGCGTGGCAAAATCCGTCTTAGTGTTGACAAAGACTGTGGGGTTTGTGGTCCGAGCCTCTTAGAATTTGTGCGGCAATCATTTGAGAAACCCGGAACAGGTAGGGTTCCTAGTCCTAGGGTGCGGGTAGAGGCTGCTGGCTTGAATGGCCAACGGCTCAGGATTAATGTAGACTGTCATGTAGAACGGAAGCTTTAGGGTCGAGAGTTTGTAGGTCTAGGTTGAGGATCGTAGGATGTGGGCTTCAGGACGTGATTCACAAAGACTGGGCGTACCTCCCGATGCATGGAATCTTGGTATGCCGTGGCGCTTGACATCGCTTGACGCTGCTCTCTGCTTGGGGTACCTAGCACAACTCTTTAATGCTGCGGCCTCAGTAGCCCGAAGGGTCAAGTACCCAATAATCATAGAATAGTCCACAGAATCCTAACCTACATAACTTCTATCCAAAAACCGAGTACCTAATCACTGGGTCCTTTGGACCTTTAGGGTAACTACCGGGTTTGCAAGCCACATAACTAGAGCAGCCCCTGTCCTAAGGGCCCGATTTGTTAGAACTTAGAACGCCACAACTCCCTGTTCTAAATGGCCCCCCAAAACCCCCAACGCTACACTCCAATAAAAACAAGCTTCAAACTCCAAAACGCCCAAATCCTAAATCTGAGTACTTCAGTGATAGTGGGGCCGCAAGGAAGCCGAAACCAGGCCCAGCCACCACCCCCGGGCCCAGGATTGTAAAGGACCAGAGTGCGTTGGAGACCTCTCGCGCCTCGAACCTGGGGAGGACGGTTTTCGTTCTCTGTTCAAAGCCAGCTCAAGCTTCAGGATGGTGGGTCTGGGAGTCTAGAGTTGTTGTGGGAGTTTCCGAAAATTAGGGGTACCTTGTTTGGGGTCCTTATAATAAGGATCCTACGATGTATGGTACTATATAAGGCTTATAAGGGTCCCCTAATTTCGGAAACTCCCTTGCAGTTGCACGGGTTTGTAAGGGTGGGTCTGCAGGCTTCTTTGCTGCGTCTTTGGCGCAGGCCGGCTCCGGTTTCATGGGAATCGAAGAAGGCACACTTGCAGTTGGAGCACCAGGCACAGATGTCTCATGTCTCGTCATTTCCAAGATGACAACCCCAGGAAATCCGAAAAGCCGACGACCCTCGTGAGAATTTTAAGCGACTCTGGCTTGAGCCAAACTGTATGCGTCTCTCTCTCTCTCTCTCTCTCTCTCTCTCTCTGTAATCTCTTTCTCTGACAAACACACGTGAAGTTACAAACCCACATTACTCTCGACAGAAAGCTTAGTGCATGGAGGGCACGTCTGTTGTTTCCTCTGTTTGCACAAAGGCTTCTCAACATTTCGGAAGCTGAAAGGACTGCATGCGGCTCCCTGGGTGACTAAGCACTTGACTTTAGACGAAACCTTAAACCCTAGACCCAAGAGTAACCTAGGAGAAAAAAGGGTGCCCTTTTTGGGTTAAAGGGGGTTATAAGAGAACCTAAACCCTAACAAGAAGGGAATAAGGGCCTACTCTGGGTCCTAGAACCTGTTCCGGTAGCAGGAATCATGGCGATCCTGGTGCCACTGCAACTACGGACTCCTCTCATGGCAGCCCTTGCTATGTGAGATTCATATCATGCTATGATGCTTGACACAAGTTCTATCTTAGGTGCATTACTAACCCTAAACCCTAAACTGGTTCTTATGTTCTGGAGCTTCCTTTGGGTTTGAGCTTCGCTTCTGGCTTGTTCAAACACGACAAGTACCCTGGACGTCACAATGCGGATGTATAAGCCTCACGAAACTCGTCTGCCCTAAAACTTATTGCGAGTCAGGACCCTCCTTGTACCCTCAAACAGGGGTATATGGTCCCAAATAAGGGGCAACTGGGGTCTAATCGAGGGTAGATGGAGGGTCTAGGAAGTTGCCCGAACCCTGTTGCCAGCTAGGCCGCTGCCGCATCTTCCGCGCTGACTGATGCGCCAGAGCCTGTGTCGGATCCAGCTGCTCGAGACAAACGTCCCAATGTAGGGGCCTTAATATTTGGAAGATGGTTTTTGGGGCCCTGATACTAAAACTATAGTAAGGAGCCCCCAAAACGGTATAAGTATTTGTTAAGGCCCCTGTTGTAAGCCTGCGCCCTAAGCTTCCTAAGCTCTACACACTTCGAAGCCGCTGGGTTTTATCAAACAACCCACAGCTTGGACTGGCGCCATCCAAATGGCAAAGTATGTAGGGTTTAGGGTTAAGGGATGGCATCTCATTTCAGCATTGGCTCCCTAGTGACCTAGTGCATGTAGGATCTAAGCCGGATGGCACTGCATAGAGCAACGAGCCTGACAGCAGTTAAGGAGTTATATAAGCAAGAGTATCACCACCCTCCCCGCACATACACACCACACGAAATAGACAGACACAAAAAAAGCAAGTCTGGGTACCTCGAGAAACTGCTGGTTGTAGATGTTGGGCTTTGCGAACGCCATGGCCGTGTTCGCGAGATCCTGCTGGGAAGTGCTGCGGACTTCGAGATCCCGATCTCCGGGGTCTTAGGGTTCGGTTTAGGGTTTTAGGGTTCAGGGTTTTGGGTTTAGGGTTTTAGGATTTAGGGTTCAGGGTTTTGGGTTTAGGGTTTTAGGGTTTAGGGTTTAGGGTTTTAGGGTTTAGGGTTCAGGGTTTTGGGTTTAGGGTTTTAGGGTTTAGGGTTTTGGGTTTAGGGTTTTAGGGTTTAGGGTTCAGGGTTTTTGGGTTTAGGGTTTTAGGGTTTAGGGTTTAGCGTGTTGAGCAAGTCTTCTGGGATGACATGTTCCCAAGCCCCGGCCTTGACCCCAAACCTTTCAGTACAGCCGAAACGTCATCGTACACCCTAAACGAACCGCCAAGCCTACACCCTACTCACCACTCTGAGTCCTGCAAGAGACAAGGTAGTATCGATGCCATGATCACCGTCAGAAGTTGGGCAAAACATTGCGGCTGCGCAGCTTCAGAAACCAAAGCGAACCCAGAACCCCACAACCCTACATCCTGCTCTTGGAAGCCAGCATCCAAATCACCTAAACATCTGAAATCCTGAATCCCGCCGCCCGCTCCGGGCAAAGTAACTCCTTGCGGGGTTGCGTTTGGCCCATGAGTAGAGCGGCACGTGTCCAATTGCAGGGTTAAACGTTGGGTGTAGAGTTTTCGTGTTTAAGGCTGAATCTTGCTTACATGCCCCAATCACTGAGGCTTGAGACCCAAAACCCAAGACCCTGAAGCCCAAGTCGAGACCCTGAATGGAGAAACGGCAAGCCGCTTGTTGCTAAACTTAGATCCCAGAAAACTCCCAACAGAAAGCCTGCAATCCTGACCTTCTACCTACTTGTCGGGTATCATGGGGAACTAAAGGTTAACCTCTTTGGCTATATAGGGATTCTAAAGGGGCTATACTACCAAAGAAAGGTTAAACGTTAACTACTCTACTACGAGGTTTAAACCCCATAGATCCATTTAAGAAACCCGATAGATCCCTTTAAAGAGCCCTTTCAGAACCCTTACTAAGTCCCATGATCCGAACTTCGAAGTTCAGGCCCGCCTGGCAGGTGTAGTCCTGAACGATCTTCAAGCCCTGTTGGGCGACTGCAGCCATGAATCCATCCTGGGGTTAGGGTTTAGGGGTTTAGGGAGAGGGAAACCACACACCACAAACTCTCTAAACCCTGAACCCGAAATCCTAAGCCACAAAAGCCAGACCCAAAACCACCCAAACCCAAAACACATGTTCGATGTTTTCGATCTGCTGGCAAAGCATCTAACACAAAGTACGCAATCCAAACCATGCCTTTCGATGAGGTGCGACGGCGGTGTGGGACTGCACAAACGAAGCAGGAATTCAAAATGGCAGTTGGCCAATCCTTTACGAAGTTGTGATCAACTATTATTGTTGCCATGATGGCCCTCAGTGTGAAAATCACCCTCAGGCTCGGAAGGAATGCTAGACGTTTCCGCGGAACTGACCCTTTCTCAGCTCGAACCGGTCTTGATTAACTGGGAACTGCTCTTCAGTCGGGTAGCATGTCGCACGCCCAGGCGGCAACAGGCCCAGGAGCTGTTGCTGAGCTCCTCACGAAGAAGCCGGAGCTTGGGCTTGAATCAGTAGGGCTTCTGGGCTCGTCGGTAGGAGTGTTGGGCCCTTCCCGCAGTGCCAGTGCGCATGCTGGGAGGGGCCCAGATGGTGCCCCGATGACGCATGCGGAAGCGCAAAGATGACGGGAGAGACTCGTTTCCGTTGGCCGAGGGGCAGCCCAGGTCGACACTCACTCACGCTGTCACTGAAGGAATGCACCAACAATTCGGAGGTGAGATTCAGGGTTGAGGGGCGAGCTCAGACTTTCAGGTTAATTACTTCCCACACCCCCGAATGATCTGACGAACCTGCGTGGTGCAGTCGGGCAATCTCTTCATGATCTCCTGCAGAATGCCGGGTGTATTTTCAGAACTTCATAAGCTCGTGACAGAGGCTTTAGAACGTTTTCATGGTGTTTACCAGGCTTCCTATAGGTAAGGGTGTTATAAGGATTGGGGCCGTGGCTGTATCTAGGGCTTTCGTTCTCATTTTGGGTGAAGGTCTATGGTTTGCGTTTAATTAGGAACTTAGGGTTTGGGCTCTCAGTGGTTGTTGGCGAACAGATTCGGGAAGGCAATTTTCGGGATTAGGGTCTATAGGGTCCAGCCCCCCTATGGAAATCTTCTGCACCCTTAACCCTCTATCCCGCGCGCCGAACCTTTACCCGAACAAGAAACCCAAGTCCTGTATCCTATGCCCTGAATCCAGAATCCTGAAAGCCGGAATCACGGAGGAATCCCGAAACACATTAAACTCCCAACTCCCAAGCAGTTGCATTGAAGTGCAACAACACGGAGATCGACCGTTCTTGGCTGATGGCTTCATGCCGAAGCGTAGCGTACTGTAGCCGTCAACTCTGGTTGCTGCTGTAGTGTTTTGTTTCAAAGATGGTCCATACTTACTTCTGATATGGGTCTACGGGTTTGAGATTGAGGGGTAAAGGTGTTGGAGTTTAGTTTACGGTGAAGGTTGGTTAACGTTTGGGGTGGCGTCCTGAACCCTTGAAACACTGCAGTATGACACCTGAACTTCCTAAGATGCGGAGAGCCATAAAACACCGTCAATCCCTTGCCCGAAACATTTCCGGAGAAGCAAAGAAAAAACTAATCCCAATCCCTAAACCCTACACCTGTCTGACAGGGGACAGGCTTCCAAACCCCAAAAAAACCATGCTCCAAAATGCGATAACATGAATCCTAGGCCCTGAAGCTCTGCACCCAAAACAATGAATCCTAAGTTTTAAGGCCTGTAGACCCTTTCCGGGCTTGTAGGGAGGAGCTTATCTTCTAATCAAGCCGGCCCGGTCCTCGAGGAGAGCACAGATGAGCTGCCACGAAGATTGGCCAAGACCTAACCCCTCAACCCTGAAGCCTAAACCCTCAACCCTAAAGCCTCAACCCTAGAGCCTAAACCCTAGAGCCTAAACCCTAGTTTGAGGTTGGGCTTAGAGCCGAAGATCTAAGAGCTAAGGGCTGAACCTTAGGGGTTAAAGGGTGCTTGGGGTTTAGGGTTTAGGGTTAAAGGGTTTAGGGTTTAGGGTTTAGGGTGTTTGGGGTTTATGGGTTGGAATACCGTCTCTCGGCTTCTGGGCTTCGGGAAGTTGGGCTTCAAAAGGCCTGCGGTCCATGATTTAAGGCTGAAATATATTACCCTAAGGGTCCATGTACCCATACAGAGATACATGAGCCCCAAAGTACCTATATAGGGACTACATTAAGGCCAATGTATATACTTTAAGAGTACATGGACCCTTAGGGTTACTATGGCTTTAGGTACATTCTTCGGAAGTGTTCAGCGTTTATGTAGATGTTTAGAACTTGGGTCCAAGACAGGTGCCTGATTGTTATTGCAAGGGTGCTGCAGGAACTTTCGCTCTTATCCCGGCACTCTGGACACAGAGCCGCAAAACCCTGAAGCAGGCAAATCCGGCAAGCCCCGAAGAGTCTTGCTCAGAAATATAGATAGCGACAGTGGTGCACATGAGTAGATTTCTTCTCAAGGAACCATGGTAAAAGGTTTCGAGCGGTTTCGGGTTTTGTTCTGCAAATACATGTATACACACTGCATATCAGGGAATCGGAATGGTGTACTGTACATTGTCGAGACAACAGAAGTAAGCCAATACTTGAATCCACCAGCGATAAACCCAACTCCACACACACACACACACACACACTAATTATCTCAACTCCAAACCTCAAGCCCACATCCTAAACCCTTGAACCCAAACATAAATCCTACAACCTGCGCCAAAACCTTGAATTCCCAATAGGTAATCCCCTAACCCAGACCTCAAACTCATTGGTAACCCGGCAAATCTGAGCGTACGCCTTAAAACCTACCCCGAACCCTACACCTGACCTTTCCTTCTGCTATGGGCGAAGGCAGGCAGAGAATTCCCAAGGCAGTCCAGATGCATTCCTCGCCTTTGATGACGAGGGTGGCGAAGCCTTTAGATTTGGTTTCTAGCGTTCAGGTGTATGGGTGATGCTTTATGGGATCAGTTTAGAGGATCAGGGGTTGAGGTGACGGTTTGGGGTGTGAGGGCTTGCGGGTGCCAAGGCTTAGGCCCACTATGCAGCCTCTGGCTACACATGCGAGCATACAAAGCCGTCCTGTGTTCTACATCTTCCTATCAAAACCTAGGGCTCCATGTACCCACATAGTGTATGCTTCGGCCTTAAAAGGGTCCCTATAGAGGTTTATACTTTAAGGCCAATCTTTTTCTTTTTTGGGTACATGTAGCCCTAGGCTAAACAGGACACAAAGCCAGCAGGCGGTAGTAAACTCTCGCAAGGCCAGCGCGAAACCCCAAACCCTACATAGACACTTATCCCTAAATCCTCAAGAACCCGCAGAGTAACCTTCAAAAAGCTTCAAAGGAACAGCCCTGAGAAGCCTCAACACCCTCAGAACATCAAAGCCTAATCCTAGATTCCTTGTTGCAGCCGCAGATGCCCCAGAGGGTGTTCACAAGGCCCTGTGCTGAAAACTGTGGAAGTTTCCGCAGCGTCTCGTCAGCGATGGCCTACTGTCGGAGGGTTTAGGGTGCAGGGGCCCATAAGCTGATACCAGCACCGGCAATTCACGGGCAAACGGAGCCTGCCTGTGCCCTGAAGCCTGAGATCTAAAACATGCCACAAAGTTTCCATGCGATGAGCCAACAAAACAAAAGGGTTTAGGGTTTAGGTTAGCCGTTGCCCTTGCCAGTGGACACCACATGCTTCACCAGACCATACATCAACCCAAACACCACAGACCAAATCGCACACTCAGTCGTTCCAGTTGCTCCTGTATCAAGACAAGAACTGGGACCTTTATAGGGTGCGAAACCACGACTACACCCTCTACCCTCAAGCACCTGAAACCTTACCCAAAGCCAGCCCTAAACCCTGAACCTTAATCCTGGGCCGTGAACGTCTGAACCCTGCACGAACCGCAACTCCTAACCCCCACAAACCCTATACACCCTATAAACCCTTTCCAACCCTATACTATAAACCCTATAACCCCTACCCTAAATCCCTGAACCCGGAAACCTAAACCCCTACACAAGTGAGTCCGCGGCGCCTTGATCAGCGGGTCGTGGCGGATGCCAATCTTGGCGTAGGCCCAGCAAGTGTTCGACAGGTTCCTTAGCGCAGGACCGTCTCAGATGGGGGGCCTTCATACTTTGAGTAAGGTTAAACCCTCAACCCTAAACCTCAACCCTAAACCTAAACCCTAGACCCCAAACCTAAGCTTAAACCCTAAACCCTAAACCTAAACCCTAAAAGCTAAACCCTAAAAGCTAAACCTTAAACCCTAAACCTAAACCCTCAACCCTAACCTAAAGCCTAAACCTAAGCTCTAAACCTAAACCCTCAACCCTAAACCTAAACCCTAAACCCTAAACCTAAAGCCTAAACCTAAGCCCTAAACCTAAACCCTAAACACTAAACCTAAACCCTAAACCTAACGCCTAAACCCAAACTGGAGCGAGCCGCGGGCGCTGCCTTGGCCAGCGGCGAGCGATACCGCGTGGCGACAGGCCCGCGGACGAGCCCGAGCGAGCAGGCGTGAGCCTTGCGAGGGCGAGGGGCCGGAGCGCGCGGTGAGCGCGGCCCACGCATGGAAGGTCGAACCCGCGTGCCAGCGACAGGCTGGCCCTAAAGAGAATAACCCTAAACCCTCGGTTTTTAGCACTTGGATCTATGCATCCTGCTCCTTTAGGGTTCCATTTAGGGTTCCGCTTAGGATTTCCTGCGTTTAGGGTTCCTTTTAGGATTCTCGTTTAGGGTTCCGTTTAGGGTTCCGTTTAGGATTCTCGTTTAGGGTTCCGTTTAGGGTTCCGTTTAGGGTTCCCGCTTAGGGTTCTTTATAGGATTTGGGTCGGTATTTTGGGTGATCAATTCTGTTCATAAAAAGAACCCTAAACGAACACCTTAAACGGAACCCTAAACGGAACCCTAAACGAGAATCCTAAACGGAACCCTAAACGGAGCCCTAAACGGAACCCTAAACGGACCCTAAACGGAACCCTAAACGAGAATCCTAAAAGGAACCCTAAACGGAACCCTAAACGAGAATCCTAAAGGAACCCTAAACGGAACCCTAAACGGAACCCTAAAAGAGAATCCTAAACGGAACCTTAAACGGAACCCTAAACGAGAATCCTAAAAGGAACCCTAAACGGAACCCTAAACGAGAATCCTAAAAAGAACCCTAAACGGAACCATAAACTCAACCCTAACCGGCACCCTAAACGAGAATCCTAAAAGGAACCCTAAACGCAGGAAATCCTACCCCTGCCCAGAATGGGGGGGACCCCGACTTCGGCCACCGGCCGAATTAAAAGTGCCTTATTTGGGTGTGTATTTTGGGTGATAAATTCTGTTCATAAAAAGGCACTTTTATTAAGCCGGTGGCCGAAGTCGGGGTCCCCCCCATTCTGGGCAGCGGTAGGATTTCCTGCGTTTAGGGTTCCTTTTAGAAATTCTCGTTTAGGGTTCCGGTTAGGGTTCCGTTTCAGGTTCCGTTGAGGGTTCCTTTAGGATTCTCGTTTAGGGTTCCGTTTAGGGTTCTCGTTTAGGGTTGTTTTTAAGCCTTGACTCTGAACGTCCTCCTTTGTTTAGGGTTCCACTAAGGGTTCCGTTTAGGATTTTCTTCGTTTAGGGTTCCGTTTAGGGTTCCCCCCAGATTGCGTTTCGGGTTTCTTTTAGGATTCCCTCCAGCCCCCACCAGAGGACTCCGCCAGAGCCGGAGCTCCCACCAGAGCACACCCACCAGAGCACCAGCATAAGGCATTCCCACCAGAGTCTCCACCAGAGCACCCCACCAGAGCACCGTGTCAGAGCACACCACCCAGCAGAGCACCAGCCTCCAGAGCACCTCCACCAGAGCACTCAGCACCAGCCGGCCCCCACCAGAGCACCCCCGCCAGAGCCGGAGGTATAAACCGAGATTTTGGGTGGGCATTTTTGATATAAATCCTGTTTATAAAAAGGCACTTTTAATTGGCGAAGTCGGGGTCCGAGCACCCCTGCCAGAGCACCGGCATTTGGCACTACTCAACCCCCCGCCAGAGCAACAGCCGGCCCCCACCAGAGCACCCCCGCCAGAGCCGGAGGTATAAACCGAGATTTTGGGTCGGCATTTTTGATATAAATTATGTTCATAAAAAGCACTTTTAATTAGGCCGGGGAACGAGGTCGGGGTTTCCTCCATTCTGCGCAGGGCGAGCACCCCCACCAGAGCACCGGCATAAGGCACTCAGCCCGCCAACCCCCACCAGCCAGAGCCAGCGCCATAAACTTTTCGTAGAAACAAGCCCAACAACCATTGAAAACCCTAAACCCGTCAAGGTTGAGATGTGGGTGGGTGGGTTGGGCAGAGCGGTGAACCCAGGGCGCACACCACGACACACGTCCCGCGTGGTGGTGTGCGCGGAACATAGGAAACCCTAAACCCTAAACCTAGACCCTAAACCCTAAACTTAAACCCAAAACCTAAACCCTAAACCTAAACCCTAAACCTAAAGCCTGAACCCTAAACCCTAAGCCCTAAACCCAAAACCTAAACCCTAAACCCCAAACCCTAAACCCAAAACCTAAACCCTAAACCCCAAACCCCAAACCCAAAACCTAAACCCTAAACCCCAAACCCTAAACCCAAAACCTAAACCCTAAACCCCAAACCCGTTCTCTTCTGTCAGCCGAGTCTCTGCTCCGTGAACTCGGAAATCTGAACTACGGCCTTCCAGGGCTTTGGGCTCCTTTAAAAGGGTCACAAAAAGGGTACTATAAGGGTTCCTTTAAAGGGCTCCGGGTTTAGGGTTTTAAGGATTTAGGGTGGTTTTAAGGATTTAAGGGCTACTCTAATAGTTTAGGGCTTCGGGTTTAGGGCTCTTAGGGTGTATATAGGGCTTAGGAATTTAGGGTTCAGGGTTTAAGAATTTAGAGTTCCGGGTTTCAGAAATCAGGGTTTAGGGTTTCGCAATGTAGGGTTTATGGCCTAGGAATTTCTGGTTTAGGGCTTAGGGCTTGGGACTGCAGTCTAGGGTGCCTGGTTCTAGTGTGGAAACGGGGTACAAGTGCCCAGTTGGTGAGATTTTGATTCCTGGTTAAAGGGGTACGGGAGTCTTCCACCCTTGTGGGTGGTACGGTTGATGATACAAATCCTGCATTACCTTGAGGACCCTAGATTATGGGAATTATGGTAGATTGGGTAATGCAGGATTTATATCATCAACCGGAGGGCTCTCGGGGCTCGATATTCAGGATCCAAGGCGCGAGGTTTAGGATGTGTGACGTGCATGGGTGGTAGGAACGGCTGAATCGAGGCGATGTCTTTCCGAGGACTTGCTCGGAAAGTTCATGTAGGCCCCTGACTCTAACAGAAAACTTTAAAGAGGAATCAAGGTCCACGACTCTGCGACTCTAACGCAAGTTCAATCTAAAGGCAGGAAGGTGTAGAGGTGTGTGTGTGTGTGTGTGTGCATGCAATGCATCATCCTCACAAGGCTCCACTGACTTGAAGTAATGTGGGTAGCCCGGGATGTCCATGACAAAGACTCAGCGATGCTTGTAACGACTTGGTCCCAATCCTATTCCTTAATGCTGGAAGTATCCTAAACCCTCATCCCTACTCTCCTAAAGCGGACCTCCCGGGCGATGGCCATCATCACAGAATCGAACCTGAGGTTCGGGTTTTTGGTGGGTTCAATTACGCTAGTCCATTACGTCCTTGTCGACGCCTTTCATAACATAATCACCGGATCACAATCAAACTGCAATTGAGATCCGCACAAAGCCCCTACCCTGACAAACACGTATCACGAATCGTTGGATAGTCCTTCAAGCAGCAGACTTTCAGGTGTAGGAGTCTCTGGACACTCGGTGCAGGAAAAGGGATTTGCCGACATGTCAACACGAACCCAGAAACCCCAAACGTCAACCTTGAATCCCCAACCTCCCTTCCCCCCCTCCAAAACACAAAACCATCAAATCCGCGGTAAGCCTGGGTGCTTGGTACGAATAATGTAGTTCAAGGTGCCAACACAAGTAACATGTCATAAGTAGTTCAATCTATCTACCACATGCAGAATATTCAAGTTTCAGCGGAAAACGCAAAGCTCTAACACCTTGGACAACCCAGGCATTGAACAGCCTTTAAAGTTAAATGGTGGTTTAGTGTAGATTACATAAGCTCCTTACCAAGAACCCGGTCTGTTGACACCCAGCGGCTTCCGCAAATCCAAGGTGGCGAAGCCCCAGGCAAGGTTTGACAAGTCCTCAGCACTTGCGTTCTTGTTGGCATGGGACTTGGTGTAAGGGTCTAAGACTCCTTCTAATTGATCATGCCGAGTGAACTGTCGTACAAGGGATATAGAAGAGATACCTTGGTTCCCTTACCACGGAAACTGCATGTAATATAGTTCCCTATACTATCTTGGGGGTTCCTCATTCTAATTATAGTAATGATGAGCCCCAAATCCTATTCTAACTGCTAAGGCCCCTATAGTCAGTCTCTTGAGAAGTCCTTGAAGCCTCAACCCTCAACACTAAAGCCCAGAACCCTGAAGTTTCAACCCTACCTAGACCCTAAGCCGTACATATACCCTAAACCCCTTAAACCCTAAAGCAGATCCCTTCAAGGAACCCTTAAAGATCCCTCAAAAGAGCCCCGAAAGACCCCTTAAGGCGAGCCGCGAGGCTTCGGGACTTTCTCGATATCGGGGGACTATACCTTTGGGTAGTTGTCAAAAAATTTGGCCCCTTTTGGGGGTACTTTAAATATTAGGTGCCGTATTGTAATAGGGACCCAAAAAGGGACCAACATTTTGACAACCACCCATTTGAACCTAAGCCCTAAACCCAGGCTCCTCAATAAACTTCCGCGGTTTTCAGTCTTTCCGGACCGCCTAAACCCTAAACCCCAAACCAACTTTAAACCCTAAATCCTAAACCTTAAACCCTAAGCTGAACCCTAAATCTGAAGCCCTAAGGCTCCCTCTGCGGTTGAGGACGCGACCCGTGGCCGGGCGGCGGCGAGCAGCGGAGGGGCGATGGAAGCGATGATGCGGAGCAAACGGCCCGGAGTCGACTCCTTTGAGGTTCTAAGCGTTTGTAGGGGTTTAGGGTTTGGGGATTTTCCTAGGGGTTTGGGGCGTAGATAGAGTTTAGAGTCTAGGAGTTTAGAGCTACGATTGCACGAATCTACGGGGTTTGAAGGCGAACAAAGGATTCTCGGCGCCGGGCTTATGGTTTTACAGCTCAGGGCGCTCAGGTAGGGCTTACTTACGAGAGCTTCATGTTGGGACTTTCTGTAGAACCAGACCTGGCGGCTCTGCTTGAGTTCATGCGTAGCACAGCGCCCGTCACCTCGTGATGTAGGTGCCCGACGGCTTTTGGAGGGTTCAGGCACGAAAATCAAGTTGTGACACTCACCCTCAACTGAAAGGTGCTTTCCAATTTTTTCGCAATACTGAAACAATTCAGGAAGCGGGGGTCAGTAGCAGAAATCTACATTATGCATGCCAGAGGTCCTTCCAACGTAGCCTGGCTAGTGCCGTCGTAATGCTCGCGAGGTGGCGGGCATGGACTATCTCAGGTCCCACCTGCAAAACATCTTTCAGGTGTTCGGGTCTTTGGGCTTGGGATGGTCTAGACTTTGAGGATTAGGCTTTGGGGTCGGTTTTCAAGATCTCAAACTCACTGTTCAGAAAGGTACACAGGGTCATCTGGCTAGATACACCAGGACCGGCCATGTCCGTGCTAGTCTTACTTTTCCCACATGCTCTGTAGCACGATTACTGCTGAGAGCGTGTTTGAGATGCTTTCGCACGACACGGTTGACTTATGCCTTTGTTTGCGTAAGGATGTCCCCTGTTGGTACAACAAGTGTGCTTATCACACCTTAACTACGTAGTGCTGTTACTGTTAGTGTTACCATTCCTGCTTTTGTTCTTCATCTTACTGCGTGCTGTTCTCCTTCTTCTTCTTCTTCTCCTTCTTAGTTTTTCTTCGTATCGTTTGCAATGGAAGCAGTAGCAGTACGAAGCACAAAACCCGCTTTTGGGGGGGGCTCTTGCCATGGACCCTGAGGCTTGAGAGTTTAGCACCTCAGACAACGATAGTACACGTATGGCATAGCTATTTTAAATTTTGAAGCCTCCAAAGAGTATAGCTGCAATATGATATCAATATAAGCGGCCCAGTTAGCCAAAAAAGCGGACCGTTTCTCAGGTCCAAACCCCTGAACCGAGGCACTCCCACAGAACACTCTGGCCTGTGCTGACTTAGGCTTCCGTATTCAGGGTACTAGGTACCATCCACTCTGAACCCGACCTGATGCTCCTGGACTGTCATGTTATGAAGGGTTTCTCTAGACTCTAGACATGCTCGGGGTTAACATCGAGCTCCAAGCTGCGATGCCTTCGATGCGCACAGGCATACGACACTCCAACAATGAGGATTCCAAATGGTCCTGCACACTACTGTTGATGGACAAAATGCTGCATGACCCTAAGGACTCTAAACTATGGGAACTATGGTATATTCCTCATAATGGGTAATGCAGGATTTTGTCCATCAGCCGTAACACCATAAGAGATGCCCTCCTTCAGGAGCCTTCCCCAAAGCCCTAAACCCCGAAACTCTAAACCCAAAACTCGCTGAACCCCTTGAACCGAAGCGCCATCTCCGATGCGCCCGGGATGCCGGCATGTGAGAGCCATGCCTCAATGCCTTCAGTGCAGAGGCTCAGAATCAACGACTGAAGTTGGTAAACCCTCCCTTAACCCTGAATTGAATAGCCTACCTTTTTAGGGCTGCTTAGCACGATTTCCTGATCAAAGTCCTTAAAACGGTATAGGTTGTTCGGGGTTAAGGTAAACCCAGAACCGAAACTTTACACCCCATATCCCCAAATCCCGAACACTCAAACCCTAAAACCGAAACCCTGTAACCCAAAACCCTTCAAGTTGTTCCAAACTCTGAGCCTGGAGCCAACGTGCTTGTGGGCTCGAAGGCTTTAGGGTTTAGGGGTTTAGGTAGTATACGCATTTCAAAGTTTAGGGTTTAGCTTAAACTTAGGGATTTAGGCATAGTGTTTAGGGGTTGAGATGTAATCCCCAAGCGCTGCATATTAAGCGCTATACTATAGCAACCATATGGTGCGGTAAGCCTCCATGTCTACCACGGACCAGAATATGAACCTAAAGCCCTAACCCTAGAACCCCAAACTCTGAAATCCCTATATCCCTAAACCCTAAATCCCTAAACCCTATATCCCTATAACCCTAAACTTTAAACCCTATACCCCTAACCCCTAAACCCTTTATCCCTAAACCCTAAACCCTATATCCCTAAACCCTACATCCCTAAACCTCAACCCCAAATCCCTAGACCCCTAAACCATAAACCCTATATCCCTATAACCCTAAAGCCTAAACCAGATAATTATCCCCAAACCCCTAAACCCCACGAAAGCGGCCCTCACATCCTTGCAGGCTCGACGCGGTACAGGACCTCTAGGACTCGGGGGTCATGATGTAGCCTGCAACGGTTTACCCATAGGCTCCATACCCTGGTATAGGCTTTGGGCCTTGGGGTTTACCCATAGGCTCCATGGTAGCCCCTTTTTGGGATTCATATTTTTAATCTTACAAGGTAATCCCAAAGAAGAAACTACTATGGAGCCTGCAACGGTTTAGGGCTTCGGGGGTCTAGGGCTTTATAGGGTTTTGGGGGGTTTTATTTAGGGCTTTTGGGTTTAGGGTTTTAGGGCTTTGGGGCTTTAGGGCTTTAGAGCTTTATGATAGAAGGTTTAGGGTTTAGGGGTTTAGAATTTGGGGTTTCGGGTTTTGGGCGTTCGGGTGTTAGGGCGTTAGGGCTTTAGGGTTTGCGCTTGGGCTTGGGGCTTACGGTCCGGGATTGCGGAGCGTATGACGTTTAGGGCCTATAGGTATAGTATAAAGCTTGATTAAGGTGTCTAAGGCCCTAAACCCTAAACCCTAAACCGTCCAAGCTTTGGGTTTAGGTTTTGCAGCTTGGGGGTCTGGGGCTGAGGACGCAGCCTGCCGGCGCCCCGAAGGCGAGATAGGCGATTCAAGACCGTGATGGTGTTCCTTAGGCTTTAGGGGTTAGGGTCGGGGGACTTAGTAAGTAGGTAGTAAGCAGACTTATATGTACCCTAAAAGGGACCCTAACTGGGGTTATGGTACTTATAAGTCCCAAAAAAAACCAGCTACTAAGTCCCCCGACCCTCCAAGTAAGGGTCAGGGTGGTGAAGGGGCAAGCACAAGGTTGAGGGCATGCATGGTAATTTGGGTGGTTGTCAAAATTATGGTCCCTTTTTGGGTCCCTAATATGCGACGGCACCTAATATTTAGGGTTCCCAAAAAAGGGACCGTAGTACGTTTTGACAACCACCCATTTGTGGGATTAGAACAGGGCTTCGAACACGGATTGGGTGCATGCCTGATGACTGGGCACATTCGCTGCATGCAAGGCGGCGTACTACTTACCTAAACCCTAAACCCTAAACACTTACAATTTCGGGCTTGGTAGCTAGTAACCCTAAACCCTAAAGTAGCTATCAATTTGGACGCTCCTGGGCAAGGCTCAACATGTCAAAGCCGGTTAGCATCTCGTCGGCGGTGTGCAGCAGCTCCTCGTTGCCGGTTTAGGGTCAAGGAGTTTCGGGTTAAGGAGTTAGAGTTTAGAGTTTAGGTTCATGAGTTAGAGGGTTAACTGGTTTCGGGATTCGGATTTCGGGTCTCGGGGGTTCAGGGAAATTTGCTGTTGCTTCTATTCTTCTTATGATTATGACTTCTTCTGTAATGCTTCATGTTTGCCAGCCCAAGGCGTTATAGTATCATCAAATCCTAAACCGTGTTGGTTCTTAGTAGATCGCACCAACATAGAAGCCTGAATGCTTCGACTACGTTTTTGGGTGGCCATATCATAGCATTGTCGTCTACCTATATAGGGGCAAAAGGCGAGCATTATTAGCAGTTCTGCCGACATATTAAACTCATTAAGCCCCGATGCCCCAAGAGTCTAGTATTTCGGCAAAGTTTAGGGTTTGGGGTTTTACGGTTTCACAGAAACCTGAAGCGTTATGCATCATAAACAACAAGCCTAAAGTCACCTTGAAGCAAACTCCACAAACTTGCAGCATGGGTCAGGGATGACTCGTGCTGGGGTGCCCGTGGCCTGCATTAAGGCCTGCGGATCACTTTCTGGCAGTTCCTGTCACACCCAAAAGGGCCAAAAGACATGAAGCCCGTAAACCTGAAAAACCAAAAAGCAAAGAACCTCCCTCCCTCCCTCCCCATCAGTTTAGGGTTCTGGGTTTAAGGTTTTTCCCCGAGTAATTCCCCAAATCGAGAGGGCCTCGACATCTTCCATGGCAACCAATCCTCGGGTCCCACGGAGGGCAGCGGCTGACAATCGGAGTAGTCTTGGGTTTACAGGGCTTGGTGCGGGTTTTGCTGGGCTTAACCTTAAACCCGAACCCCTCCAAGTCAGCCAACTCTTTTAAGGGCACACATAAGATGATTTTCCTAAAGGGCCCTTCAAACAGGCAAGTGGTTTGAACCCGAAAACCAAACCCTAGGCTTTCAGCATAGTCCGCAAGCACGGGGCGAGGCCTTCGCGCTTCGTTGAGGTTCCTGGGCTCTAGGAATTCTGGCCGACCTTCCTGTAACGTCATGCTCCTCATCTCTGCAGGATTGCACATTATTGGATGTTACAGGTTTTGTTTTTAGGATTTAGGGTTTAGGGCCTCTTGACCGATGCTGCTGCTGCTGCTGCTGCAGTTTTCGAGCTGCATGTCGAACCTTACCTATCCACCCCCAAAACAACACTCCAGCTGCGTCCCTCAGCCCTAAACCCTAAAATCTCGAAAATCCTGAAACCATCAAGCCCTAAACCCTAAACTCCCTGAAACCTTAAACCGAAGATCCTCAACTTCCGCTTCATGCGCTCCGGGCGTCGCTTGTTTAGCGCCGCGTGCCAGGAGGAGCGGTGCCGCCGCTCTCGGCTCGAGGGACGCTCGGAGCCTGAAACTTCGGACGTAGGGCTTAGGGTTTAGGGTTTGGGGTTTAGGGTTTAGGGCTTAGGGCTTAGGGTTTAGGGCTTAGGGCTTAGGGTTTAGGGCTTAGGGTTTAGGGTTTAGGGTTCAGAGTCGAGGCTTTAAATATGGGGGCCTTCCTTTAAAAGGGTTATTACAAAGGTGTGTATAAGGGTTACTATAAGGGTTTAGTGTAGGGGCCTTGATGGTGAGAATAGGGTTCAGGGTCCAAAGGATCCAATAATTAGGTACTCGGTTTTAGGATAGTAGTTATGTGGTTAGGATTTTGGAGAGTATATGATAAGGACAATTAGGGTAGGGTTCAGGGTCGGGGGCTTAGGGTTTAGGGTTGCTATACGCCCGGAGGTTTGGGGGTTCAGGGTTTAGTGGTTTAGGGTTTTAGGGTTTGAGGTGTGGGTTAAGGAACCCTTCAAGGAACCCTTAAGGGTTACTTTAAGGGTTACTATAAAGTTCCCTTAAGGGTATACTATAAGGGTTACTATAAGGTTTCCATAAGGGTCGACCTATATAGTCTCCATTGTATTTCCTGTTTCTGCTTAAGCCAAATATAGAATTAGGATCCTATCAGATAACCCCAAGAAAGAACTACAAAGGAGACCATCGGCAGGCTTTAGGGTTGAGAGTTTACAGCTTCTATAAGGGTTCCTTCACAGGTTTTAGGGCTTGGGGTTAGTAAGGGGCTAGCAAGACGAGTCTATAAGGATTGCTATACAGGGTGCTGGAACTGCTGAACCGTGAAGCCTAAACCCCTCAACAACCTGAACCCCCGTTTCAAAGCCTAGCTGCAATCTGCATCCTCCCGGCGACGAGTCCACGGAGAGTCTACGACAGCCGCTTTGGACTTGGCATTGACAGCTCCACTGATGGGGTAGAATGACGACCTGGAACAGGGTTTAAGACGTTAGCTTGTTTACTTTTCCCTATGGAACCAAGAACCCTCCTGTCTTCTTGTTTGATGGCAATCCTCGATGCGATAACCTCATGGGAAAAGCATTCTCGGAGTCGACTGGTCTAGGGTTTAGTATTCGGAGACCAGTTGCAAATTGAACAACAGGTGAACCGAACAACAACATAGAGGCTTACGCATATGCATACATGTACACACACACACACACATCTTGTATATACATCTACATATACATATACATGTACATATACATCTACATAGATACATATATCTGTCATAACAACTTTGTACGTGTTTATGTATATATATATATATATATATGTGGATTTATCTGCAATGCGGCATGGCAACACGTAAGTGAACATACACAAATAAACTCACTGACAAAACACTCAGCAAATGAGTATGTTTGTAGATAGATGGATAGATAGCTAGCTGGCTAGGTAGCTAGCTAGATAGATAGACCGATTTGTACATATCATACATGTATATATGGGTGGTTGTCAAAATTGTGGCCTCTGTTCGGGTTCCTAGTATAGTACGGCACCTATTATTTAGGGTACCCAAAAAGGGACCATAATTTTGACAACCACCCATATGCAAGGCTCGGAGAAAGAGTTTGGGGCTAAGCCTTGACGGGCGAGGAGCTTAAAACCTGGGCTGACAGCTCGAAAAAAGTTTCCTGTCATATCATTTATAGGTTCTGTCCCTAAACCCTAAGCCCAAAATTTATACTAGGTTTTTCAAGAAAACCCTCGTAGAAGCTACACTCTAAACCCTCAGATTAGGATTCAAGGTTGTGAGCTGTTTGATCCCATGGTCGGAAGTTCACTCGAAGGTCTCAAGCATCCACCAACCGCAACACCACCGCCACCACCAAGAGTGCAAACAAAAAGCACAACACGAGCTAAGGCGACCGTGACGACGTCGACGGCTACTACCGCTACCTCTACTGCTATTGCTGCTAGAGCCACAACTACCACACAAGTAGCACCACCGCCACCACCACATCCACCATCACTACCACCTCCATTACCTCGACCAATACCTGTACTCACGACCACTACCACCATCACGACGACGACTGCTACTACTGGTGCTTATTGTCATTCCATCGATAGACTTGCCCTCAGTCACCTCCTGAAAACCATTCAACCTGTGCGCCGGCAATATGTGAAACAAATTCGCTTTTGCAGCACCACTGCGAAAAAAACCTACCAGATTCTGCAAGGCCTCAATGGGGAGATCCTGTATCTCAAGACAGCCGTGGCACGTCGAAGACGCCGGGCGCGAGCCATTGACTCCGTTGGTGCTTGGCTTGCCGCCGTCCTTGTTGATGCTTTCCCCAAAGGGTCCTATGTACTGTTATGGGGAATACTTCCCTAAGTCATAATAGAAATTCCTAATATGGAAACCCTACATTCCACTATATCGTTACATAGGATCCTTTGGCTTCATGGTGATGACAACCACGATGTTGGTGATGTTGATAGCGACAGGGGTGGGGAGAGCAGGAACATGTGCTGATGATGGTGATATTGATATTGAAGAAGAAGAAGAACAATAAGAAGAAGATAGCTGGCTAAAGTCACTAGCTGCCGAACAAAGATCCGATCTCAATCTATGCTAGTCATAGTCGGAGCCAACCCAAAGACTCCAATGGATATCAGAATCTCTGAGACGATCCAGTACCCTAAGCCCTAAACTCTAAACCCTAAACTCTAAACCGAGTAAGCCTAAATCCCGAACCGCCAACCCTGACCAGAGACTACTGACGTGCCAGCCTCCTGGCGATCTGCAGCCGCCTGGCGCTGGGCATTGCGACCGCTGGCTTTACTTGGAGGGTCTTTAGGGGACTTAGTAAGTAGGTCCTTTAAAGGGCTCTATAGGGGTACTATAGGGTTTAGGGTTTAGGGTTCAGTGATTCAGGGGCATAGTAAGTAGGTAGTAAGTAGACTTATGAGTACCCTAAAAGGGACCCTAATTTGGGGTTATGGTACTTCTAAGTCCCTAAAATAACCAGTTACTACGTCCCCGGACCCTCCAAGTAGGCATCATGGGGCTGAGAGTTTCAACGGGCGGGCTTTGGAGTTGAGGGTGGGGGGGACTTTCGGGTTGAGGGTTTAGGGTTGGTCACAAGTCAGTCCCCGTGCTGCCTTTTCCCCGAACCCACGGCGGAATGTATGCGTATGGCGGAAGCTGCAGATTAGCAGGCTCGGAAACTGAATTCCTGCAGAAAGCCTACCCCACAAACCCTAGCGAGCAGTCAGCAGCTAGATCCTGCACGCCAATCCCGGAATCCTACACCCTAACCCCCGGAACCCCGCGGTTCTTCGCCTTCACTGTAACATTTTAAACCCGGCCGACCGGTAGCAGGAAAATCCGAGAGAGGTCCACCAGTGATCCCGGGCACAAGGGCGCAAGGGCACAAGGGCACGGCAAGGGCACGGCAAGGGCACAGCAAGGGCACAAGGGCAAGGGCACAAGGGCACAAGGGCACAAGGGCGCAAGGGCGCAAGGGCACAAGGGCACAAGGGCACAAGGGCAGAAGGGCACAAGGCTATGAGGGCATACAGGCACAAGGGCACAAGAGCGCGAATGCACATGGACATATATACAAATATACAAATATACATATACACATGTATACATATATGCATATGTACACATATACATATAACACGTAAAAGACACACGCATGTATGTACACATACCAAAGTACAGATGTACATATAAACAGATATACACATGCACGTATGTAAACATACACATACTTACTTATATACATATATACATATATATATACACACATACATACATGCATGCATACAAACACATATACATATGTACACGTACACATATATACCCAAAAACGCGTATACACATATACATATATACTTATATACACATTTGAATATATGCATCTACACAAGAATACATAATTACCCACACACATATACACATATACATGTACACATGTATACATATAAACATGTATAGAGTTCTGATTTAAAATCAGGGGCGCCCCATCAGTCCAGGGCTCCATCCTCGGAGTTCAAGGGTGGTAAGAGTTCTGGTTTTAAAGACAGGACCGCCCTATCAGTCCGAGGCTCCGTCTTCGGAGATCAAGGATGATAAGAGTTCTGATTCTAAAACCAGGGGCTCAACATTAGTCCAAGACTCCATCCTCGGAGTTCAAGGGTGGTCAGAGTTCTGTTCTTTTTAAAATCAAGGGCGCCCCATCAGTCCAAGGCTCCATCCTCGGAGTTCAAGGGCGGTAAGAGTTCTGATTTTAAAACCAGGGGCGCTCCATCAGTCCAAGGCTCAATCCTCGAAGTTCCAGGGTGGTAAGAGTTCTGATTTTGAAATCAGGGGCGCCCCATCACTCCGAGGCTCCATCCTCGGAGTTCAAGGGTGAAAGGAATGTTTTCATATTAAAACCAGGGGCGCTCCATCAGTCCAAGGCTCAATCCTCGAAGTTCAAGGGTGGTAAGAGTTCTGATTTTAAAATCAGGGGCCCCCCATCAGTCCAGGGCTCCATCCTCGGAGTTCATGGGTGGTAAGAGTTCTGATTTTGCACTCAGGGGCGCCCCCATCAGTCCAAGGCTCCATCCTCGGAGTTCAAGGGTGGTAAGAGTTCTGATTTTAAAATCAGGGGCGCCCCATCAGTCCGAGGCTCCATCCTCGGAGTACAAGGGTGTTAAGAGTTTTCATATTAAAACCAGGGGCGCCCTATCAGTCCGAGGCTCCATCCTCGGAGTTAAAGGGTGGTAAGAGTTCTGATTTTAAGATCAGGGGCGCCCCATCAGTCCAAGGCTCCATCCTCGGAGTACAAGGGTGGTAAGAGTTCTCATTTTTAATCCAGGGGCGCCCCATCAGTCCCAGGCTCCATCCTCGGAGTTCAATGGTGATAAGAGTTCTGATCTTGAAATCAGGGGTGCCCCATCAGTCCGAGGCTCCATCCTCGGAGTTCAAGGGTGATAAGACTTCTGGCTTTAAAGTCAGGACCGCCGCATCAGCCCGAGGCTCCATCCCCGAAGTTCAAGGGTGGTAAGAGTTCTGATTTTGCACTCAGGGGCACCCCATCAGTCCAGGGCTCCATCCTCAGAGTTCAAGGGTGGTAAGAGTTCTGATTTTAAAATCAGGGCCGCCCCAACATGCCCAGGCTTCATCCTCGGAGTTCAAGGGTGATAAGAGTTTGAATTTTCAAACCAGGGGCGCTCCATCAGTCCAAGGCTCCATCCTCAGAGTTCAAGGGTGGTAAGAGTTCTGATTCTAAAAACATGGGCTCAACATTAGTCCAAGGCTCCATCCTCGGAGTTCAAGGGTGATAAGAGTTCTCATTTTCAATCCAGGGGCGCCCCATCAGTCCCAGGCTCCATCCTCGGAGTTCAATGGTGATAAGAGTTCTGATTATAAAATCAGGGGCGCCCCATCAGGCCGAGGCTCCATCCTCGGAGTTCAAGGGTGATAAGACTTCTGGTTTTAAAGACAGGACCGCCCTAACAGTCCAAGGAAGGCTCCACAAGCTGCGCAGCCGGCGCAAGCGGCCCTGCCGGCGTCGGCGCACCGGTGCATCCATGTGGTGGGTCGGCGCACCGGCGCACCGGTGCATCGGCGCATCCGTGTTCCAGCGGCGCAACGGCGCACTGGCGCATCGGCGCAACCGAGTTGCATGCGGTGCACCGGCGCACCGGCGCAACTGTGAGGTGCTACACCCATTGCCCCCAGACTCCATTTTTACATATATACATATGTACACATATACATGTACACATGTAAACATATAAACATACATACAAACATACATATATACATACATATACATACATATGTATAAATATATATATATATATATATATATATATATATATATATATATGTATATACATGTACACATATAAACATAAATACACATGTATACATATCTACATACATACATACATACATACATACATACATACATACATACATACATACATACATACAAGGGCAGAAGGTCAGAAGGGCAGAAGGGCAGAAGGGCACAAGGGCACAAGGGCACAAGGGCACAAGGGCACGGGAACAGGAGAGGACCGATGCCGAGAATCCGGGTCCAGGTCGCAGTTTCTGCTACAATGGTAAACAAAACAGAACTGATGCTGCTATTTTTCCTTTCTCGACAGGATTTTTACTCGTAAAGCGCTGATTTAGAAGGTCTACAGTCTACAGTGCAATTGAAAGCTCCAAAATGGATCGATTCAAGAGGATTCGTCATAATTACCATCTCTTGAAAGAAAGCCCTGGCTGCATACTTACCTCGAGACCCTGAGCTCGTGGTTTCTACGTCTCCGCGTAGGGTTACAGTAGAAGCCTACAAGTTGGAAACCCAATAGCCTCAATCCTTAAGAGTAATGTATAGGGAATCCCAGCACTCTTTGGCCTTAATCCGGTTTCCAACTTTATGGGGTTTACTGTAAGGTTTAGATGGCGCCTGTCTCTCCTCTGCGTCTTCGGCGTCGAGCTGATCGAAAGCCCCGGAGGAGTAGAAAGAGGCCGCCATTTGCAATCGAGGCGGCCGCGTCCATCATGGGTATAGCGAAGTGCTTGCACTTAAGGGCTCAGAGGGCAACTTGCAGGCTTACCTGAAGAGTAAGGGCCCTATACCCATATACTATGAATCCCTATATGGTATATGAACCTCACACCCTTTTAGGGATCATGTCGTCCTTAAGGTACAGGTCTGAGGACGAGCAATTGACCTGCCTGGCTCAGAGTTCCCAGAGACTCCAATATCCCTTAATTAAGGAATATACATTAAATTATAGTAGGATCCCTAAGATGACTTAAGGTATATTCCTTAATTAAGGGACATCGGAGTCTACGGGCATGGAGAGTGGGGCACCGGAGTTAGACTGTAGGATTCGATAGCTTCTGAAGAATCAAGCGCGCAGGGCCTCGCCGGCCCCAGCCCAAAGACTTATACTACATAGATCCCTACCCAATATATTTTTGAGATATCCGGAAACTAATGTCCTATCCGTTGTAACAGCCTCAAATAGCGCCAAAAAACCTACTGTAGGGGCCTTACGAATTAGAATAGGGTTTGGGGGATATGATCTGTACCCATAATGAACCCCCCAAAACCCAATTCTAATTACAAGGCTCCTATATTGCGAGAACATGCTCAGAAGCTTTGGTATTGGTTCGTATTTCCCACGTGTTTTGACCCGGAGCCCCTTCCATGTTCGGCTCGTCTGAGCCGGCAGTGATCAACAACGCGCAAGCAAGTACTTCTAGCGGCCTTCGCAACTGGGGTTTGGTTTAGGGTTATAAGGGGCTTTCGTAACTAGGGCTTAGAGTGTAAGGTTTAGGGTTACAGGGGCCTTCGCAACTAGGGTTTAGGGTGTAAGGTTTAGGGTTATAGGGGCCTTCGCAACTAGGGTTTAGGGTGAAGGTTTAGGGGGGTTATAGGGCCCTTCGCAACTAGGGTTGAGAGTGTAAGGTTTAGGGTTATAGGGGCCTTCGCAACTGGGGTTTCGGGGTCAAGCTTTAGGCTTATAGCGGCCTTCGTAGCTGGGTATAGGGGCCTTCGTAACTAGATTGGGTCACAGTTTTGGAAGCCCACACCCTAAAGGCCAGGGTTCTTAAACGTCTCAAGGCCCATGACGCCAACGCCAAACCATGTAGGTTTAGGGCCTGAACCGAAGGTTTGCAGTGTATAAGGGTTACCTTGACCATGAATATCCTACCTTCTTAAGGACTCATATAAGGAAATCATAATCAGGAACCTCAAAAAGGTAGGATATTCGGGGTTAAGGCAAGGAATAACTGCAAACCTTATGAGCTCTATGCTCAACTTCGTGTTTCCGGGGTCTTGGGTACAAGGCACTCCTGCTTTCGACCAAGGGGTTAGGGCCTCCCGGCTTCGAATTGTGCCAGTAGACTCATAGGGTTTAGGGGTTTAGGGTTTAGGGGTTTAGGGTTTAGGGTTTAGGGTTTAGGGTTTAGGGTTTAGGGTTTAGGGGTTTAGGGTTTAGGGTTTAGGGTTTAGGGGTTTAGGGTCTTGTCAATGGGGTCTATGGTGCGGGCAAGGCTGGCAATGAGCAGCATCGCAGTGAGCAGACTCACCGCGAGATTGTCAGGTGATTTGGGGAGGAGCATTCTGCTGCCAGCAACGGCTACAACATCTCGAACACACGAACGGAAACCCTAAACCCTAAACCCTAAACCCTAAACCTACCAATACTTTTTTGTAGGTTCTTATGACAAACCTCAACATGGAATCTATAAGGACCCTACGAAACAGCAGGGTTTTGGTAGGTTACTTGGAGGGTCTTTAGGGGACTTAGTAAGTAGGTAGTAAGTAGACTTATAAGTACCCTAAAAGGGACCCTAATTGGGGTTATGGTACTTATAAGTCCTCAAAAAATAACCAGTTACTAAGTCCCCTGACCCTCCAAGTAAGGTATAGTTCCGAACATGCTGCAAGGCTCCTGCACAAGTACTATGATCAAGTCAAACATTCCTAAAGGTTCACGACGTACGGTAGAAGCCAGAAAGCTGGAACATAAGTGTCCTCATGCCCTTAAGGTAAAGGACAAGGGATCCTAGCACTAATCCTCCTAAACTCATGTTCCAACTTTCTGGCTTCTACTGTAGAGTTTCGTTCAGGGTTTACAGGTTTAGGGCTCAGCGTTCAGGGTTTACGGGTTTAAGGGTTTGTGGTTTAGGGTTTAGGGTTTAGAGGGCTTTAAAATCCTACACGTCTCTAGTACCGAAGCCTTGTAGGCACCCTTGTAGCAACTTGATCGGACGCTTATACGAACCTTGAAGGACGCAATGACACCCAAAACGCTAAACCTTTATGGGAACTAACCCTGAACGGCACAGAACCGTATGAAACCTGCAGCGAGCCCTAAACCCTAAACCTTGAACCCTAAACCCGAAGCCTTTAAAACTCTACGAGACCCTAAAACCCAAAACCCGCAAACTCTTCCATGCCGGCTGCCTTTTCTCGCCTGCTCTTGAGCAAACTCCTGCTGATGCCCGCTGCCACGATCGCCTTCTCAAGGCGGGACGAAGTCCAACAAAGTGTTTAGGAGTTGGGCATATATCCTAAACCCCAAACCCGTTTAAGGGTCTATAGGGTTTATGGGGTTTATAGGGCTTTTATCATGATTCCTCAAACCCTAACATCTTTAACCCTGAGCAGGGGTGGATGCAGGTAGACATCACCAGCCCCGCAGCCCCGCAGCCCAGTGAACGCGTGCCTACTCGATGGTGTGCAGAATGGCATAGGAGATCAGGACGATGCCGAAGAGCCGGCACATGACCCTGGGCTGCAAGATCTTGAAATCTGGTTAAGAGCGGAAAACGAGCGTATATGGTACTGAACACCCTAAGCCGGGAAGTGCAAAGCCCACAACCCTGACCCTGAGACTCTGCACCGGGTTTGCTCTAGCCTGAGTCTGGGTTTAGATTCGGACAGTGGCTGGAAACGCTGGCCTTCGAAACAACTCCATGATTGAGGGGCCTGGATAGTTGGAATTGGGTTTTGGGGTACCGTTACAGTATGGTTATACGAGGACCAATGTGGCATACGCTACCATTATAATAGCAATGACAAGCACAGTCACGAGGCCAGTAGTAAGTTCGACACAGCAATGCAGTTTACGGAATGCATGTTTCGATGTAAACACGGCAAACATTCAAACTTCCAGCCACTGGTGTAAGCAGTCTCACATCCAATCAAAGCAGGACAGCGAAACTAAGAACATATGTCTGAACAAGAAGCCACAACACAATACATCTAGACCTCAAGTACTTAACAAAACCTTGATCCAGTTTTAAATAATCAGCAAGGCGTGCAGGTTGAGTATGTCCGTGACTGTTGGGGTTGAGGGCTCATTTTCGGAACTGCAGTGTGTGAGGCACAGTGCTTGTAGCTGCCCGGCTTAAAAGCCAGAACCTACGTAGCGTGTAGGGCTTAGGGTCGGATCGACTCGATGAACCCCCCCGCCGCGATCCGGCGTGCAGCTGAAGTGCTGGAAGCCGAAATATGTCATCACGGTCGCGCCGAGAACCGGTCCCACCACATATCCGATCTGCTGGAACCTGATCCGAGTCTGGGGCTAAGGGAACATGTAGGGTCCACAAACCCTGGGTCCCTGGGTCCGTATCAGGGTTCTTTGAAGGAATAGGGTTTAGGGTTTAGGGTGAATCCGTCTATTATCCCTATATCTTGGGGCTACAGGACAAGTTCTTCCTAATCAGGTTCCCACACTGGGCGGAGGGCTAGGTCTCAACTCCATGCAGCAAGCATGCAAACTGTTGCCGGCGGGCGGGTGAGAGTGGGGGGTTCTCTAAAGATGTCCCCAAAAGGGACATCAACTTGGAGAACCATCATAACCCTGCTGCAATTGGCTAGGAACCGGGCTGGAAACTGAAGCCAGCCCTGTCTGGGGCAGTTCGGATTCCGTCGCCATCCGGACTGTGACGAAACCACGGACAAGGACCAGTCGAATCGAACCATACAGAACTACACTCTGCAACGAACAACCAAATCCTGAAAGAACCCCCTAAACATAAAGCCCTGACTCTTGACATGCCGAGCGCACAGACCTTCTTCTCTCAAAGACTACGAGTTCTGGTACAGCAAATAAAATTCTCATGTTGCCAAGACTAGCTAAAGCTTAGCCCTTGATGTTTGTAATTTCGGTAGGTTACGCTAAGTAACGCGAGCTTGAGCTGGTAGAGACAAGCTGGGCTCTACGCCCAAGATTGAAAGTTATGGCTCTACCTTAACCTCCGTTCAACAAAAACACGTTTTCACATATGTATAAGGAACTTCCAATATGCAGCTCCAAACATACAGGGTTTGTTGGGTTCAGGTGGGATTTCACGGCAGTTGGGTTTTGGGGCTCTTGGCCTTTGGGTATCCATGGTAGCACTCAAGGATCTTTACACAACATCTGGTTCATCGGAGCACGCTCGAAAGTAGGAGCGAATGTGCAAGACCTGCTTGCTCTGTGCTCGCGTGATGCAGCGTCTAGCACGACAGGAAGCCACGACAGAAACCCAAAATGCCAAACGCTCAATTACACGCACTCTATACGCCCTGGGATCATCCAGGGAGCATATTCATGATGCTGAAGACCTGGCGTTGCAGACAGGAGCCGGATATCACAGAATTGATGAGGACCCATGAGCGTGAAGCGTGAAACTTGCTAACTATAGCCAGGCTCTAGTGCTAGTGCTGTCACCTGCCTGACGCTGAGGAAATACACATAATGTTCGGAGTTTTGAGAATCTGGACTTTCATTGGGAGGATTCTGCAGGGTCTAATATGCTTCCGTCATCTCCGTATAGCCTAACCCAGCATTTTCGGTTGATGCCCTCGTATTCAACCGAACAGTGGCTGCCAAGGGAGTCCGGAAATTCGCGAACCCTAAATCGCATCTGCTTCGTAAACCCTATATAAACCCTAACCGCAAAACCTCTAACGGGTTGGCCCCGGTCCTTGTCAACATGCGGATTTCTCAACAGACTCCCGGAACCTCC